CTATTACTAAGCATGAGCATATTATTTATAAAATATTTATACCCTGAAGAGACAGGATGGTTTGCTTGAATAACAGCAGCTTTTAAGTTATCAGTATCTTTGATTTAAAGGTTTTTTTAATAATTAAAAGGTTATGATGATATTCTTTAAATGCTAATGATTACAGTAGCATATTAAATAAGTTTTTGTAAGATTTCTCATTTTCATATTACCCATATAATTCACTTGAATCTATGTCAATAAATAATGATTTGTCCCATGCAGTTGAAAAAACAATATCATTGTATAAAGTTATTAATCTAAATCTACCATTGCTGTAGGTAAAAGTGCTATACATACATGAACATACATATATAATGACCAAGAATTTTATTACTATATATACGTTTTGGCCTTGCAATTTATTGGCTAGTCATACAGAGCTGATGATCACATATATAATGTTTAGAAGTAATCTAGAATAGTCTGATCAACATTTTATTACTGTAAAAGGAGCGATCTATATTATCCTAATTCGGTATATTCCCTGACTGTAATATATAACAAGAAATACTTTCTGATAAATACTTAAAATGTCAAATAATTTAACTGCTCAAAATAATGATGTTTTTAAGATTAATTGTGCTGTTTTTGATATATTTTCTGAAGAAATTATATATATTTAAATGCTAATAATGTCTTAATAGAAGAAGGTGCTAATTTTACTTTGCTGAGTATTTAAATATACTTAATCTATCTGAAATGTTATCATCTAAACTTGATTTTAAAATTGGATGTCTGATTTTACTCTTATACAATCTTGCTTTTCACCAAGGTCTTTGTAATAGCCCTTGCTTGATTATAGTTCACTTTATAGACCATATTATTAAAGCATAAATTCTTACTAAAGATTTTGCTAGAAATTTAGTTTTTATATTCTGTATTACTTTAATACCTTCTTCAATAAACTTATATTTTATTTTTAAATATAGATAATTTTTAATTTACATTGTATTTATTATTACTATTAATAAATTATAAAGCTAATCACTATCATTTGTTGAGCTAGATCTCAAAACTGATGTGTTTATATATACAATAATTAACTTTATATATAATTATTCTATTATATTTCTTTACATTCTATCAATATTCTTTTTCTACAAAACACAGTTAACTGTACTATATTAAATATGGTTTATTCTGAAGTATTATTACAAGATTAATAAATAATATGAACTATTACTATTTGCATACTTTTCAGTAGTAAATGTTTCTCTTAATTTAATATTGCTGTTAAAATCTAGAGAAGTCAATAGAAATGTGACAAATTTATTAGATAAATTTATCCTATTTCTATTGATTTCACTCTATATATTTTATATTATCAATATATAGTTTTACTAATCTAAGTTTTATTTAAAAAAACTTACCAATACCTTTATAAGTATATATTAGCAACACAATTTTCATGCTCTTTTAAAGTATTAAACAATTATTTATTATTAATAATTGCAGCATCTTTTATATTTATCATATTATATAGTAATTAATATAATAAAAAATGCTGTGATTATTAATTAACCATTTAATAGCATAGCTTCAAGTATTAAAAATCTTTCTAAGATGAATAACTTTAGCAATTCTAGTTAAAAAAAATTTATTTAAAAATATTGTATATAATTTAACTTTAATATTAAATAGTTGTATATAATATTTTATTTATATGATATATATATACTTTTGTAATAACATATTTTTACAAAATTTTTGCCAACTCATTTAATATACTTTGTGATATATACAGTATCTCAAACAATAATAAAAATAAAAAATAATCACAATACTAGGTATTTAAAGTAGTAGTCTAAGTTACTTTAAGATCTAAAAGCAATTTATCAAAAACATTGTTTTAATTATTCAAGTGCAAAAAAAAAGGTTTAAGTCTATAATTTTATACAGTTAAAAATTATAGACAACAGTTTTTTTTGTATTATTACTAATTTTGAAAAAGGCAATAAGCAAATAATTTTATTTTAATTAATATAAATAAATTAGAATTAAAAAGTAATTATTTTTGTAATTTTCATAATTTGAATAATTTCAACTTCATCAATTATGAAATAAATTTAATTATTGCTATACTTTGAATCTACAATTTTAAGATTAACTTACCATAATGTTTTACATTAACTTTAATTACTTTTGTTCTTTGAAAATTGTCTTGGTTACTTATTTATACAATTTAAAATATTTTGTTAGTATATTTTTTTATTAACAATATTTGCCATTAAAAACTATTTAGTATTTTTAATTGATATTAATATTTATAGCAAAATAATTAAAAAAATTTTATTTATGTTAAATATTATTTAAAAAACAAAATATACCTGACATTGTTAGTTAATCTCAAGTTTTATAAAAAACAAAGTAAGTAAAAAGTTTTGTTTAAAACAACCTTATTACATTAATTATAAAAAATATTTATTACTAACTAATTAGTTTGTATAAAATTAATTTATTGTAAAAGAAGTTTTGGGATATAATATATTTTATTTTTGCTTTGTGTTTTTTTTACACATTATAAATTTGTTTTAGACTATTATATTATTAAGAAGTTCATGTTTATTACTAATAAATACTATTATTTCTTTACATTAAATATATTTATCTATTTTCTATTTATTTGATATATTAATTCTTTGTAAATTTAATACTTTATAAACTTCATATATAAGTGCTTTGTTTTCTATATTGTTAAATCATTAAAATTTTAAATTTTGTAATGTGATTGATTATTTATCATATTTATTACAGTGATATTCTTAAAAATTAAGTATTTAAATAAATTTTTCTTATATAAGCTATAAGATATAAAGTATTTAGATTCGGAGCAACGCGACGGGTTTTACACTAGTACATAATAATTAGTAATCATTATAATCTTTTTATATAATAAAAAACTAATACTAGCGGAGATATAAAAAAGGTCCTGTATAAGGATTTATCAAACACCCGGGTTTAATATACTAAAAATAGAGGTACATTTATATGTAAAAATAAGTGCTTAAGACTACTAAGTTGGTTTTCTTAATAAACTTTTGAGATATCGATTTTTTGATGGTTTTTTTTCTTATACCGGGTATCATATCCCAGGTTAGTGATATGAATCGAAAATCGATTAGTCGGTTAGTTGGCTGAGTTGGCAACTAATCGATTAACAATTTTGACCCAGCTATTAATCGATTAACCAACTAATCGATTAATCGATTAACTATTAATCGATTAATCGATTAATCAGTTAGTTGTTTTATTTTTAATAAAATTTTTATCAGATTTATATTCAGTATTATTATTAAGTTAGATCAACTAAAACAACTAATCGATTGATCGATTAACCAACTAATCGATTAATCGATTAATCGATTAGTTAGCAATAATCGATTTGTAATCGATTTTTTAAAAAATTTTCAACCAACTAACCGATTACAATATTTGTTTCGATTCGTATCACTATCCCGGGTACTAATGGAAATCTCGCCACCAAAAAGTTGCAGACACATGACAACGACAAAAATTCTTAAAATTCGTTAATGTTGTTTATATTATGGTTAGGTGATAGTGAGTAAAATCGCTCAAGGAAAATTTTTTGTTAGTGCACCAAAGGTGATCCATGCAACAGGAGGGAACGAACGTCGACCCGATGTGCAATACGTATATAAAAAAATTATTTTACAATACCAGTACACATGATAACATGATATGATTATAATAAAAATGATATATCAGTCGTGTAACATCAACGTTCCCTCCTGTTTGATCTATGCGAACAACCCTAGTATCGTTCATAAAAAAATTTATCTGAATCACTTGAGATACGGTAATAATGAAGATGAATTGAGTTTATATGCGTCACGTGACTCGTAATTACGAATCAATGAGTAACAGTAATCAACAGTGACAGAAATTTGCCACATTTCTTATGAACAGATGTGCAGATGCCGCACACTTGTAAAAAGTTGCTTATAATTTTTCTTTATTTGCCGCACAGAAAATTAACGCCGGGTAATCAATTTATAATTATTAGTAACGGAACATCTAGTTTACCATTTGACGTAATTTATCATGACAATATGTTCGTCATGTTTATGTAGCTGATATGAAAAGAATGGTTTATACGTATTAGTATTTACAAGTGACGTCAGCTAAATTTTTTATGGGCGATGCTAGGTTTGTTTGTTAATAACGATCGTTTGTTTTGAACTTTCCTTATTTGTTTGCGCTACAAAAACATCATGTGTCTGTAACTTTTTTAGTAACGATACTGGGTTAGTCTACTAGGTAGTTAATGAACATAAATGTTGAAAAGATTGCACAAGAATCCATTTAACGTTAAATCTTGCCGCTTTCACAAAAACTTTAATAAAAAAAAAAATGTCCATAGTGAACACACTTCCTCCAGCAGTTGTCGCAGCAATCAGTAGTATATCTATAATTTTACAAACTATTCGAAATCGAAATAAATATTTTGAAATACCACCAGACGAAGTTCCCGATAATATAGTTGATAATGCACGCTTCTCAACGGTAAAAAGGGATGTCATCAAACTTGGAATTACGATATTGCAAACTGGACTGTTTACTTTCTTATTCTTTTGGAAAATTAAACATGGAATTAATCTAAATTTTGATACATTAAGTCCCGGGATTCTTGCAATTTGTTGGGTAAATATTTACTTTATTTACTTTAGCTTTCTTTATTGTCGATATCGTTTATTTATCATGCTTTTTTTGATACTTCGATCCAAAAGTTTTATGCACTTATAATTTCAATTATTGCTTTGACATTGAAATCAAGACGTTGGAAATGGATATTAAATGCATATTTAACTGCATTTTATTTTACATCTTCTCTATGTTCACTTTGGCAACTTATAACTGTTATAAAATTTAATGGTTATTATCGCATAGACGAAATAATTGAAAAATTAGCTGTAATATGTAACTTTGTTTTCTCTGTGATGGCCACATCGATTGCGATCACAACACCGATGGGTCCACCAATACTTCAAAATGGAAGAGATGTTTGTGCAATCGAGTATTGTTCAATATGGGACTTTATTAATATTTCTTCTGCTTCTAAATTAATTCTCAAAGCTTACAAACAAAAGACTTTCGATGATAATGATCTTGACTTACTTCCATTTGCTTATCAAGCTAGGTCAGTGTATAATGCTTTCAAAAAAACCAGAGGAAGTAAACTCTTGTATCGAATATTGGTGACTAATAAACATGTCATAGGCTTACAACTTTTATTCACAATAATGGGTTCTGCATTATACTATGCACCAATATTTTTCTTGTACCGTTTTCTATCGTTTGTTCAAACAAGACCTGAAAATGATTCATTGGAGCTTGGATTTGTATATATATTTGGAATGCTTATATCATCTCTTATATTACGTTTTATTATTACACAGAATTGGTTTTGGTCTGGAAACGCTCTTAATATTAGTGTAAAGGGGATGCTTAATTCTGAAATCTATTCAAAAAGTTTAAGGAGAATTGATTCTCATATTTCAATTGTGAAAGATGAATCTAATAAATCTGAGGACAATTTGGATGATATCGACAATGATAATTCGTCTGTTGGCAAAGTTACTAATCTTATGTCAATTGATACAAATCGTATTAGTAATTTCTCTGTATGGTGGACAAATATAATTGATAGTCCGATAGAATTAGCTGTTGGAATTTATTTCTTGTATCAATTATTGGGTGTGTCTTGTTTACTCAGTTTGTTTGTTATGATCATTACACTTCCAATTAATCATCAAACGGCCAAGTTATATGCAAAAACTCAAGACAAGCTTATGAATGCTAGAGACCGTAGAGTGGAACTTATGAATGAAGTAAGTCCAATATCTGATATTGTAATATGCTACCAATTTATCCCTTCGTATACTTATTCTATTTCCAAATGAAAGGTTTTACAAGGCATTCGTATGATTAAATTCTTTTCCTGGGAAAAGAATTGGGAAAATAAAGTATTGGGTGCATATTACTTTCCTTTTTTTCGCAAGATTTGTAAAACTTGCAAATGTTGAAAATCATACCTTTTTTTTTGTAGAGGCTCGCAAAATTGAGCTTAAAGAACTTCGAGATAACTTTATTTATTTGTCCATATTTAATTTATTGTGGACGGCTTCACCTATCTTAGTCACTATTCTCAGCTTTTTCTTCTTTACCAAAATTCAAGGAAATGAGCTTACAGCTGCCATTGCTTTCACTTCGATAGCTATTTTCAATGAACTTCGATTTGCCCTTAATACTCTGCCTGAAACTTTTATGGATGGACTTCAAGTATTGATTAGTATGCGTAGAATAGAAAAATTTTTAAATGAAGATGAGATCAAAATTCCTCATGAAAATGATTATCCATTTATGAAATCAATCACTTTTGAAAAAGCAACCGTCTCATGGAATAAGATTAAGGAAAATAGTGATGAGTTTATTATGCAAGATTTGGACTTGGAATTTCCTGTGGGCGAATTAAGTATCATTTGTAAGTCTAACATTATTTTAAAGAGCTTTTTTACGCTATATTATAAATAGTTTGCAGCATTTATATATATATATATATATATTTTTTAGGGGGACCAACCGGATCCGGAAAGGTTGAGTACAACATGCCTGCAAATATGTATGTTTTAAAATATTTTTAATAAACATTAATTAATATTTATATAATGCACGTTTGTTAAAGACATTATTATTAATGTCAATTCTTGGAGGTAAATAAATTCAATTTAGAATACGTGCTTTTTTATTAAATCCAATTACCTCGATTAATATCTTTATCAACAGAAACGAATATCATTAGTGGCAGAATCAATGGTCCACGTTGTTTTACATGTCCTATTGATAAAAATATCAATGAAAACAACTGGATTCTTCCGAATTGTACCGCTTACGTTGCGCAACAAGCATGGCTTCAAAATGCTTCTATTCGTGATAATATTCTTTTTGGTCTTCCTTACAATGAAAGTCGATATAATCAAGTTATAAAAGTATGCGCTCTGGAAAAAGATTTTCAAATATTTGAAGATGGAGATATGACAGAGATTGGTGAGAAAGGAATTACACTAAGTGGGGGTCAGAAGATGCGTGTCGCTTTAGCAAGGTAAATTTAATCATGGTTATTTTAAATTTTAATTAATTAATTAATTAATTATTATTCAGCTTGACATAAAATTGTAAATTTCATAGAGCTGTTTATTCGCGAGCAAAACATATATACATAGATGACGTTTTCAGTGCTGTTGACGCACATACTGCTCAGCAATTGTTGAATAAATGTCTATTAGGCCCTATTATGGAGGGACGTACTCGAATTCTTGTAACGCATCACATCAGACTCTGTTTGGCTGATGCCACTTATTTGGTATGGCATAAAAAATCTGAGACCAAAGGGCATTTAATAATTATTTAGTATTTTATTAATTATGACCAAATTATTCTTATAGGTTGCTGTCGATAATGGAAAAATTGTCATGTCTGGTGTGGTTTCAGAATTACGTAATTCAGGAATATTGACTTTGATCCTTGATGAAAATGATATTCAATCAGAATTAGTAAATTCCGTCGAATTGGCCGCAGAAAATACTACTTCTGATGCAACTCTCGTCGATAATGTTGCACAGGTGGATGATTCAAACACTGTAAAAAAAGTTTCCAAACCAAAAATTCTTATCGAAGAAGAAGGTTTGTCTCATCATTTACTTGTTGATTCGGTTTAGGAAAAACGTACATTAATCTTGATTGTAATTAATTGTTAGCACGACAAACTGGAATGGTTAAGTTTAATATTTACAAGTCATATTTTCGTGCAAATGGAAATATACTTTACTGGTTGATTGTTGCAGTAATCTTTATTGGATCTAGAGGAATACAGATAATGGAGAATTGGTGGCTTCAAGTTTGGTCAAATGCCAATAAGAATAACGAGACAATTCCAACGATTTTCAATTTAGTTCAACAAGATAATTTAGTTATGATTGATGGAATATTCGACGATATTTACAAACCACATAGCGTTGATTTTTATTTGAATATATACGTGTTAATTACATCCTTATCTATTATCACGGGTGTTTTGCGTCTTGCTTGGCTTTATTATGGATCATTGAGAGCGTCTAAAAAACTTTATCAAACACTACTTCATCAAGTTATTCGTGCTCCATTAAGATTTTTTGATACGACCCCAGTCGGAAGAATTCTTAATAGGTTCAGTAAAGATTTTGAAACAATTGATAGCACTTTAGCAGGTAAATTTATTTTAGGTGTTATAATCATAATTATTTTTTGTGACTTCTTATTTTAATATTTTCTTTCCAGGCGAACTTGCATGGTTTTTGATCAATGTAAATACATTTTATTTGTTATACTTTTACTTTGTGAATAATACGTATAACTCTGGTTATAACGGCACTGTTCGAGACAATAAAAAATTTAAAAGGTTAAAACTAAGCTATAAAGATATTTATATAAAGATTTAAAGATGTTATATCCAGATGTAGTTATATCCGGAGAGATAAATAATTTCGTAACTTAGCGTAATTTTTTTTTTTTTTAGGCACTCATGATGTTGAGTACTATGGCTGTTATAACGATCATTACAAAAGGTATTGAAGTTTTTTAATCATGTTCTTTTTAAATGCATAATAATTACATCTAAAATTGTGACCATAATTAATTGATAGAGTTTCTCGTTGCGGCAATCTTTTTTGGTAAATTCGTTATTATCATTATTTTTGTTGATTATGTGTCTTGTGATAACAAAGAATACAAACTTTTTTTTACCATTTTTTTAAAATTATTTTAATCAGGTATTGTTTACACAATTGTTGGTGTACTATACGCGAAGGCATCTCGGGAGCTCAAAAGGATGGATTCTGTATCAAGATCCCCACTATTTTCTCATTTCACTGAAACTTTAATGTAAACGTTATAATCATGCTTTAAGTTTTGAAAAAATTTTTTTATTTATTTAACAATCTTGGTGTCGTTTGTAGTGGCATAACAACAATTAGAGCTTTCGGCGCATCGAAGCGGTTTATGCAAGATATGTTATTAAAGTTGGTATATCGATATTGATTTATTAACTTTTTCA